AACGCTTGCTTGTAATACACGTAACGATGGGGGGGAAAGGGGAGGATGTAGAAAGGGCTTGAGGCAATGGCAGAGGCGCGTGACCTTGTGGAGTTTGCCGTTGTGGTGGCCGAGATTCGTGCGAGCGCGGGGAGTGAATCGATTGTATTGTACCAATAGTGCAACGCGAGAGCTGTGCAAAGGGTCTAGGTGGATGAATACGCAGGCAGAGGCCGTCTGGACGCTCAGGTCGACGTCAAATTTATGAAAATGAAAACTCAATGCAACCCTGACGCTCGTGACCGAAAGAGATGCACCGCCCTGTCTAAATTCTTTGTGATCGAACACGCCGACTCCCAGAACACTGCTGGCACGCCGTGTCTGATAACCTTTCCTTCTGCGAGCTTCCCTCTTCAATCCGGATGGTCCCGGGGACAAATACGTTCGCCACTGCTGTACACACGTGAGCTCACATCACTCCATTTACATGTAATTCAGTGGTATTCGTCAAATTTTCGTGTATCGACAAGTCTCAGGTCCGCGAGAGTCCTCCGGGAGGGTCGTCTTCGAGAGAGCTCCCCCTTACTGCCAGACCCAACGAGCGGTTTCGGCCGCCTGTAAGCGAGCTGTCGGCCGTGGTTAAAATCCACCTCTGCAAAGGACGAGCGAGGAGCCGCCTGCATGGTATGAGACACATGAAAAAGCAATAGGACACCTGAATTCGAGACGACGCGGGCCTACCCCACGACAGACTCCCACTGTCGCCCGTCCCTGCTCACTGCCAGACGTATCGCTCCTCTCCGCTGCAACCTAGCCCTGATGCGACCCTCCACTCCCGGGCCTGCGCGGGTTCCCGAGGGGCACCCCGTTGAGGTCCTCCTCCTCGTCCACGGCCGGCAAGGAAGGTTCTCCCAGGAGAGGGGGGGGGTCTGGGAAGGGTCCATCCCCGCCTTGAACGTCGTCGACGTTGATGAGGCTTCGCTGCACAGAGGGGAGGGTGACAAGGGATGGGCACGGATGGTGAGAAAAGTTGCGGGGAGTGCCTCATCGTGAGGAGCGTACGGCCGCGGCGGTAATTGATCACATATATCAGGTGGACAAGGAGTCCCAAAGCTTTGTGGAAGCTTTGAGACAAGCCATCACCAGGATGAATGAGTACTTACACCTCGCAGGTGGGGCTTGAGGCCGATGTTCGGGATGGTCATGTCGTCCAGAAGAGCGCGGTGGGTGGGGTACCATACATCTTCGTGAAACGTGTTTGCTTTGACAACAGCCACCAGGGTGATAAAACTGATGAAAGGCAACACCCGAAGCATTCAGCCCTCGACTTTGGGCTGACCCTGTCTGTCCATTCATAGCAAGAGTAAGGTAAGCATGTCCTCATATTTGTGATGCCAGCAAGGCTTGTTTCTGACTTCAAGATTTTAACTGATGATACTCGGTAAATGCGCTCATCAACACACACCATATCATGATTTCCGAAGCGATGAAGAGAGTAACACATCCAGCTCGTATACTTCAATTTTGTGGCATGAAGATCCGTGTGGAAGGGAGGAGCCATCTGCATGATCGAGACTTGTCCGGTCATGAGGTCGTAACGAGTGAGGGGAAAGACGACACTTTCTTTTTCGCCGGAAAAAGGAAAAAAAAATATTTCGCGCAATTTTTACCTTGCATTGAAACCTCGGGTACCGAGGTGTCGATCGTGTCGAACACACTAGCATGCACTTGAGGACCTTTTCACATGGACGCGTGGTGGACTCGTGTCAAAAGAGGAGCTGGTCGGGTACCTGAGACCAAAATTTTGGGCTTTGCTTCCGGCCTTGGCTTGCCACCTCATAATCGTCGCTTGAGTCACCACCCCACGGAATGCTCGTCCTTATTCGCTTAAAGCGCGACTTCGACGTCCTCCCACGTGACCCTGCGCGAAGTAGACGCCAAACCCCGGAGACGTGCAGCACGACACGCTGATCATGCCCTCCCCGTGCGTAGCACTCTCTTATCTGTGCATGCTCTCGGTCCCTTCAACTGCCTTGGCTTCACTTGCACTGAAGGCCGCACGCATGGGCCCTCGGTTTTATTTCTCCGAACGCCGGGCATTCGAAAGAGGGAAGCCAATATTTGGTCCACGTGGGCACTGGCAAAATGCAAGCATTTATACCTGTGGCACCACGCACGGGCATGGAAATATGACAGGGCTGTTATCTAAATGCTGCAGAGGCACTTTTTGTGGAACGGAATAGTTCGGGCCCAGTATATGTTTCGTGTGTAATTTCAATACGCATTAGTTTTCGACCATCGAAACAGGGAAGCGAGTGGGCGCTTTCCGTGAGGTCATGGCGTCCATATCTTGCATTAGGCAGTCTCTAGAGCTTGAAAACTTTGAGCAAGGGGCTCTGGTAATAGATCGGGCCGCGACTACAAGCCCTGCCACGGTAAGCCTTGATATGAGGGTGTTGGAGCACAGAGCCGGGATGGCATCTATTTTGGGAAATTTTCAAGGAGTACCACACTCCTTGGATCCGCCCGGGTGTTTTTACGCGTGCTTGATTTCCTGGGTGAGGTGGATCATTCTCTGTTCTGTCATTACCCTGCGCCGCGTGGCAGACATTGGCTTTGACGCGACGAGTCCCCCACCTCCTTGCACCCAGATCTTGGATGACCTGTCGATCCCAGACGGGCTGGATCCACCACCTGTCGCGTACAAGGGCTGCGGAAACGACGGGTGTGCAGAAGTTGTGGACGCTAGCTTTCCTGCCTACGACCACCTCTGTTTTAGAGTTCATCGGAGCAGTCACAGCAGGAGTCCTGGCTTCGACCCCGCCTCGGAGAAAAGCCCCAGCCTTGTTCCCGGTGCCGCCACGGCGTCGGGGGTGGTGCGGGAGGTGGTTATAAGCCCGTGGAAACAGGGAGGTGGGGGCAGGAAGAGCCCGCACGTGGCGTCCCATGAGGAGATGCCCGTGGGGCGCAGGCTCTCAGTGACAGGCGAGCAGGGGGACGGCCCTGAAACTCCCTCTGACAGGCATGGCAAAGAGGACAAGGTAGCCTGCTTCCGTGCGACGAGCCAGGATCCAATGGAGACGTCCATAACCGGGGCCGCATGTCCACTGCGGAGCCAGCAGCCGCCTCTCCGGCAGCAGGGAGAGGAAGGGGGGAAGGAGGAGGAGGAAGGGCGAGGGGGTGCAGGCGAGGCGCGGTACGGGCAAAGGCCATCGCAGAGGCAGCACGGCCAGAGGGAAGGGGAGGAGGAGGAGGAGGAGGGAAGACGAGGAGACGCTCCGCGGCCGTTGCGGCAGGCGGATGGGGCCGCAGAAAAGGGGGAAGAGGAGGGGTCGATTCAGGTCTCGACGGAGGTGCAGCGTCGCCTCCCCCCCAGCCGGGAGGGAGGGAAGGAAGGGAGAGAAGGGGAAGAGAAAGCGAGCAGGGAGAGGAAAACCCTCCAAGCCGTGGCCCGTTTGGACCTGGACGACCAGGCCTCCCCCCTGTGGCTCGCCGAGAGCATGGCTCGGAGCACGCCCTCCTCCTCCCTCTCCTCCTCCTCCTCCTCCTCCTCCATCCTACGGAAGCAAAGCGCCTTCCTCCCTCCCTCCCCCGGCCTCTCATGCTCCCCGTCCAGCAACGGCAAAAAGGGCATCCGTTTTGCGGATGCGATGGGGCAGGCCCTGGCGGCGGTCCGTTACTCGCAACGGTTGCAATATAGCCCAACGGCCGTCCCTCAGCGGTGGGAGGAGGGAGGGAGGGAGGAAGGGTGGGAAGAAGTGACAGAGGAGGAGGAAGAGTGGAACGTGGAGTGGATGGGGGAGGAGGACGGGGAGGAGGAGGAGGAGGGGGAGCAGGAGGGCTGGTGGACCCTGTGGCCAAGCGAGCTCTCGGCATTTAAACGGCG